CTGGGCCGGAGCTCTGGAGAGCTGTTCAGGGCCCCTGCTATGCGTCGGTGGGAGTCCCAAGTGAAGAGTTCTGGCCGGCGCACCCTTCCTGGGCTCCATTCTTTTGCTTTTGTGCCTAAGCCTACCCTGAGCAGCTGAAGCAGCAAGAACTCGTAGCCCCCAGCTTGCTATTGAGCTGTCATCACACGATGTGTAAATAGGGCAAACCGTATCATTACAGGAAGTCCACAGTGGGTGTAAGTCATATCCTGAAAACCTAGAGAAAGTTTGCTTGACCTAAAAAGCCCACGGGAGGTAGAGTCAGGAGAAGCCTCCCTGCCTGTCAGAGCCACTGCTGCCTTGAACTCAGAGACATAAGGACTCTTGAAGGAGGAAGTGGAGGGTGGGTTGAAAGGCCTGCTGGACACGCCATCACAGGGCCACCTGTCTGCGTGGGTGGGCCTCTGGCTTGGGGCTCCGGGTGGGTGTGCGGAGGATCTGGTGTCTGCTGTCTCTTGGAATGGGCGCTTCAAGCAGAACTGTGCATGCTGCCCAGGGGGAGAGCTCCCTCCGAGGCAGCAGCCACCACACTCAGCAGCGAAGGTGCTGGCTGTGCTCTGTCTCCGGGTCCCCTGCCTGGGCCTGGGCTCTCAGAATAGGCCGCTCCCAGCACAGAGCCCCGGCCCAATTTCAGTCAGCTGGCTGCTGCCTGGTAGGCCTTTCCCCTGCGTTCTCTGGCACCACAGTCCCATTTGGCGTTCTACCTTGCTTCCGAACATCCTTTTGCTTCTAAAGTGTTTCCACTGTCCGTTGGATGCTTTTAACCACTCTCCTGCCCACGCACACCACCACCCCGCTCCTTCAGCTCTGCTACGTACGTAGCACTGAGATACCTGACGCGGTTCCTGCTGACAAACTCTTTCTATGCCATCGTCAAAAGAAACCCTTTCATTCCTTTCAAATGTCTCTTTGGCCTTATGCACGCCACTGTCTGGTCTTGGCTTGACTCAGTTTTTTCTTTTAGTTTTTCCTCTAAGCTACCCAAGACCATGCTGCCCATGGTCACGAGAGCTGGACCCTTTGGAGTCTGCCCCAAGTTTTCCATTTTCACTGCCCAGGGCCTTTCAGTCCCAAGAGGTCCTTGGGCCTTGGTTGGGAGAGTTTCCACATCCTGTAGTTAGGGCCACTGAGAAAACGCATGCACACTGTTGCGGCTTATACCTAGATGTCTCCCAAAAATCTCATGCAGGCAGAGGTGGCTGGATCTCATGCGTGATGCTGGGATTGATTCGTGGTGCAGTACTAAGTTCAGGGGCATCAGGATTAAGGGTGTGAGGGCCACCTACCCTAAGAAGCCTGGAGAAGATGTAAGGAGCAGAAAGACGCTGTTGAGGTCCCTTGTTGCTTCTGTTACCTTCCGCCTGCCATGAACAGCTGCCCTCTGCCATGTGCCACCCTGCCTTGGAGCCAGCCAATTATGGTGTGAAACCTCTGTGAATTATAAGCCAAATAAACTTTTCCTCCTTTGACTTTTTTTTTTGGGGGGGTACAGGGAATCGAACTCAGGACCTTGAGCTTGCCAGGCAGGTGCTGTGCCACTTGAACTATTTCCCCGACCTTCTCCTTTAAGTTCAGATATTGGGTATTTTGCCTCAGCAGCAAGAGACGTGATGAAGACACACACCTTGCTGCTAGGCCTGACTAAAGTCACATTCAGCTAGTCTTGGGGTACAGGCAGTAAGCATGTCATGACGGGTGTCAGTAGTCTGCACCCGGACAGCCTCCCACACATGCTCTTCTTGGGGGTACATACTCCCCAGCAGGTTGTGGTGAGGTCCCAGAACTCAGCACCTGTCAGTTAGATTTCTTTTCAGCTCAGCTTCCTAACATTGCATAGACACTAGTGCTCAAACTGCACCATGACCAGAGGTGAAGAGCTTGGAGGTATTAGCAAGACCCTGTCCCATGCCGGGTACCAGGACTGTGCTTCAGTGTACTATTTCTCAATTGCTCCCAAAGGGTGAGAAAACCTGCTTTCTCTTCCTCTCTTGGAACATCTCTTATTTGTGAATTTCATTTTTCAACCAAAGACTCAGTTCCATGCTGATTTTGCAGAATCATGTTGTTGATAGGTTTTGAAAAATGAATAGACTTTGTCTCAGTTTCTCTTCTCTTGTTGCTGGGACAAGTACCTGACACCCAAAATGAAGGAAAGAAAGGTTTATTTAGCTCACGGTTACTGGAGGTTTCAGTTCATACTCCGGCTGGCTCTAAGGCAGAGTGGCACAGGGTAGAGGGCAGCAGTTCATGGTGGCGGCAAAGAGCAAGAGTAGCCAAGGGAGGAGTAGCAGCAACAGCGGCAACAGAGAGGAAGTCTGTCTGTCTGTCTCTCTTATTTTACATTCAGGCTCTTTACCCCAGGCTGTTGGAAGTACCCACACTCATAATCCCAGCAGTACTAAGACCCATAATCCCAGTAGATCAGGAGTTAATCTCAAACTCTGGAAGTCCCATGACTGCATGAGGCTTTGGGGGGACAACTAGACATAATCCATAACAGACTTTATTGGTTTCTTTTTCTTTTCATCATTAAATCTTGTTTGTTTGTCTGGTACTAGGGATCGAACTCGGGACCTTGGGCCCGCTTGCGCCTCTGAGCTATCTCCCCAGCCCCTCATCATTAAGTCTTTTAACAAACCAACACCATAGGCTTATGCAAATCAATCAACAACAATTAATTAAAAACTAACAACACACAACCTACCCCATGGGATTGTTTTTAAGACACAATTAAGATAATGATTAAGGGTGCTTAGCATTGGTAAGTGCTTATTTTTATTTTTATTTATTTATTTTTTTCAGTACTAGGGATTGCACTCAGAACCCTGCGCTTGCCAGGAAAGCGCTTATTCTGCTGAGTTATCTCCCCAGGCCCTTTTTAAAAGAGAATTAAAAAAACAGAAATGATACAGAATTTCACTAAACAAGAAAGGAATTCAACAATGGCTGTCATGTTGCATATTGCTGACTTCAAATTAGTTGTTCATATTATCAGGTATGAGCATGCAAAATTCATCTGAAAAAATTAAAAAGAAGAAAAACAATTTAAGCATTAACTGTTCCTTTCAATAGTTCCCAGGAGATGGTGGGTCCATGTCAGAGGGTGACAGCAGGACTCTGTCCAGGCCTGGAATTTCCATCCACATGTGGACCCGTGCATGCCTCCTCGTTTTGCAGTGGTCTTGTTCAGCTGGCATTTGATTGGGTGTAACCAGATTCACCTAATGTATCAGTTTCAGCCCCAGCAGGACAGAGGCAGCATATTTAAGTTAGGATAACAGGAGGGGGCTTTGCTTACAAACATATGTGTAAGGTATAATAGATCCCAGGAAAAAGGATACAGAAAGACGCCAAGGCTGTAAGCAGAGAACAGTCACAATTCCTAGGCTGAAGGGATGAGATGCCAAAGAGCCCAGCAAGAGCCAGACAAGCCCTCCATGCTTTGCATGTTTTTGTGCACACTGGTGTCCTGCTGGGTACCCCTGGAAGAGCCCAACTTGATAACCCAGGTGTCATGGAGTCCGCTGGTGCTCTCTGAGTGGGTTGGGGTTCCAGGGCATGGAGGAAGGTGAAACAGGAAACCAAAGGTCCGGCACGTACAGAGCCAAGGGCTGAAGCCAAGCCCATTCTTGGATGTGGTTTTAGATGCTGTTCCAACGACAATACTGCACTCAGATACAGTGACACCTCTGAGCAAGGCTTTAGGCAGTGCCCTCCTGAACTGACTTGGTGAGGCAGTGACCAAGAAAGCTTCCTTGGGGCTGGTGGTAAGATCAATGGTAGAGTCTGTTCCGTGTACACGTGGTCCATAGTTCAGTCCCTGGGGCGTGCGCACACCCTTGTGCACCCACACACGCATGTGCATGCTCGTCGTGTTCTCCTTCCTCCGCTCACCTGCATCTGATACTGCGCTCTGCTCAGTTATCATGGGACAGGCGTCTTGTCTAAAGGAGAATAAGCAACCTGGGTGGGGGCTGGGTTGGAAAGGAGGAGCAGGCAGCCTCTTAGATGGGAGAAGCGGCAATAGAGGAAGGACCACGAAACTCCGTGGACCGAGACCCCGAGGCCCCAGGACACTTGGGGTTAGTGGCTGGCTGGTCCCAGCTCTGGCTTATTTCCTGCCTCAGCATGATGCCCGACTATGACCTTCTTGTTGGGCTCACCTTCTGTGGAGCTTCTGAGGGCTTAGAGATTAGAGCTTGCTGCTCACGTGGCTGCAGGATCCTGTGGGTACTTGGAAGTGTCAAAGACAGTGAGCCGGGGGTCCAGGTAAGAGGCAGCATGTGGTGACAATCTAGAGCGAGGGTCAGAAGCCAGGCTGCTGGAGATTGTATCCAATCCGGCTCCTTTCAGCCTCTGTGAGACTCACATAGCATCTATCTTTCTTAGAGGAGTCAGTGAGTCAGTATTTGCCAAGTTCTTAGAAAGAGCCCGGCACATAAAAGAACTATATAAATGTTGGTTAAGTCAAACTTGAATTGTGGTACTTGCTGGGTAGCCCCCGGGCCTGCCCCAAGGGACTCTTGAGGTTGGTGGTGTTCTCCTTCCTCTCAGTGCCCACTGGACTGCTCAAGGCTATGGGCTTGTGTGGTTTTTAGGGAGGGATGACCAACTCTCCTCTCAGGAGCCCAGGCCTTTCTGAATATAGCCACTGAGCAGTATCTGACAGGAAAGACATCATCCCTGATCCGCCCACCCACCAGTCCCGTCCTGGGTAGGACACTGTCAAGGGTAGGTGGCTGCTGGCCCAGGTGAAGTAAGGCCACTGTTACTTGCAGCACCTTGGCAGGTTTTGATCTGCCCTCTCAGGCAGCTCTGGGAAACCACTAAGCTTCCCCCAGATGAAGAATTTTCTTCACTGACTAGGTCCGAGTTGTACCTTCACCAGGTAATCCAGCTTCTGTGATTTGGTACAAATGGGATGCGGTGACACTTGTGTTTTAATTTTGGGTTCTCATCAGGAGGAGTCTACAGCCTTTCATCAAGATAAGAAGTTTCTGTGCAAGGCATGCCAGACTGTTCCAGAAGATCCTGTTGGGCCTCTTGTGTTTGGGTGAGATAATGAGGCTCTGTTGAAGTGAGAGACACAGTCACCTCAGGAATGTCACCTGTGTCACAATGATTAGTAGGTGGAAAGCAATCTTACTCACAAAGCGACCCAGAGGCTGTTTGATGGACAGATCCTAACTCCTTGCAGGCAAGCCGTAATTTATTGAATTGCACCTGCAGGAACAAGTAAGATTTGACAATAAAATAGTTTCCAAAACTGCATTATTTGACAGACTTAAACTACTTCAGAGGAGACGGGCTTGTCTCTTTTTTTAGTGTCTTGATTTCATGCAGAGCGCAATATCCCCTAGTCTTTATGAGAGAAGCCTGCAGTATACATTATGTATTTGCTGCTTTACAAGTATAGTCGCTGTTATAAAATATTTTTAAAAGACAGCAAATCTCTGCTTAAGATAAACTGTCAGTGATGTATCTTTATATGGAATTTTGATGTCAACATTAGAAGCAGCTGGGATGGTGACAACAGAAATGTTTGGGGTGGCTCAGGGAGGGTGAGGGCCACAGGGCTGTACGTCCTCATGGTAGCTTTGTTTGCAGGATTTTTGCTCCTGTGCTGGTGGGGAGCTCCCCACCCAGGGCCTCATGTATAGCAGGAGTTGTACTCCAGCCCCGTGCTTGCGTGGCTTTGTCCAACTGGAAAGTTTGGCCTTTTAGCATTTTAACAAGACCAGGGTGATAAAGTTTCAAGAAGAAATGAATGGCTTTTTGTTTGTTTTTGAGACAGGGTCTCACTATGCAGCTCAGGCTGGCCTTGATCTCACTTTGTAGCCCAGGCTGGTCTCAAACTCCCAGCAATCCTCCTGCCTCAGCCTCCTGAGTGTTGGGATTACAGGTGTGTGCCACCACGCCTGCCTTATTTTTGAAGAGTCTCATGGTGGCTGCTCGTGGAATCTACTCCAAGGGATGGCGAGAGGATGTCAGATAACAGTGAGGTGACACCAGGGACTGGAGACCAGAGGCGATCTTCAGAATAAATTGTAGTGGCCTGGAGCCCAAGAAGAGAGCAGTTAGACCTCTCCTTGGGGTCTCAGGGGTTTCTTGCTCAAAGCCACAGATGCTCCAGGCCAGACCTGGGCAGGCTGGCTCTGTGCTGGCCCCCAAGGCCCTGCCTCGCTTACCCTCTGCACCTCGTCTCTTTAGCGTACGCTGCCTACTTCCTGGCAGCCTGCATCCTGGATTTCCAGCGGGCGCTGGCCTTGTTCGTCATCACCTGCTTTGTGATCTTTGTCCTGGCTTACCACTTCCTGAAAAAGTTCTTCGGTAAAAAAGTTACCAGATGTCTGGAGCCCTGGAAAAACTCTCGCCTGCGTGTTTGGATGACATGGTAAGAGAAGAGCCTCAGCATCCCTGGCCCCACGACTCATCCATTCCAAAGCCCAGGCAGCTTGTACTTTTTCTCCCCTTCCAGTTCCGTAAGGGTCTCAGATCCTCACCTAGGCTGTGAAAACCGAAGGGCAGAAGGCAAATAGCAGCGCCTCGCTCTGCGCACCGGCCCGAGCCCAGCCTATGGCCCTGGGTCTCAGCCTTGCTAGGGCGCAAGACAGGCGTGGCTTTGGAGAAGAGCTTCAGCCTGTTTATCATCAAGTCCGTGTCAGAAATGAGAAAAACCAGGCTGCTCTCCAGGGAAGTAATCGGAGCCCAAAGTCTTGCAGCCGCATCGTTATCACGTTAATTCGGTGGCCATCTGCGTCTGCCTTAGAACCCTGGTACTTTGATGCCTTTCCCTGTTGCTAGTCCTCCAGAGTTCCTTCGCCCACGGATGACTTGAGGTTTAAGAAGCTTTCCGCTCAATACTCACTAAAACTGGACGTCTAGCAGCTCACCTTACTATGTCATGCGCATGCGCTTTAGCACGGGCTGGGGCGAGAGAGCAGCTCTCAGATTTTCTTCTCATTCCTCTTGCAGCCCACTGTCCAGGGAACACACAGATAATAGGTGTTAGGTCATTTACAGCAGGTTAAGCTGGAGAAATGGCACCACCTGCATTTTGGGTCATTGATTTATGAGATGCTGGGGAGGGAGAGCTACGCTGCCTTTACTCGTTAATAAGAGAGTTTCTCCTAGCCAGATTTTCTTCACTTTAAGGAAAATAGGTTACAGCGAGAAGAGCTCTGCTTTTGCAGTCGCGACCTGTGAGTGTCCTTCGTTGCTTTGGTCCAGAGGTATCCTGATCGAACAGGGCGCGCTTTTGTTTTGCTTTCATCCTTGGTCTCCCTCATAATTTTTTTCCCTTGGACTTGAAGGACTGAAGCTCTCAGATGAAGAAACCAGTCTGTCTATTACTCAAATGTGTTAGGTACCCGAAAAGACTATAAGGGCATCAGTAATTGTTCTGTTGCTAAGCCTTTTCTTCAGCTAAGCGCCCTTGGAATGGCGAGAGATTGGGAGGAGATTCACAGAACCAACCACACTTTTCCTCCTATGGTTTCTAGGATTTTGAATACTTGTGGGAGCAAGCTTTCAGGACGAGCCTTTCTATTTTATTGATAGAAAAACTTAAGGAAAGAAAGTCACATGATTTGTGGCCTCAGATTAGAACCTTTAACTTCATTCTGTGAGTTGAGTGGAAGAATTGGAGGGAGGGAGGAAAAGGAAGGGAGGAAAGGAACCTCTAAACAAATGGTTGAGACAGAGTCCTCTGTCTGATCGGCAGCAGATGATTGAGTTCTGTCACTTGTCCTTGGAGGGGGCTTCAGTATTTAGAGGTGATTATTTGTCATTCATTCACTCACCGAGCCGTGACGTGATCTTGGCGTTCCTTCCTCAGGGTGCTTGCAGGTGTCTCTCTGGTCGGCCTCATCCTGTGGCTGGCTCTGGATACGGCCCAAAGGCCGGAGCAGCTGATCTCCTTTGCAGGAATCTGCATGTTTCTCCTCATCCTCTTTGCCGGCTCCAAACACCACAGTGCAGTGAGTTGTGGGTGTGTGGGTTGGGCAGACCAAGGGTCAAGTGCTAATTACACACTTGACATGGGGTCTGCGATACGGGGTCCCAAAATACAGCATGAGTTTAAATAAAAGAGTAATACAGTAAAAGATATATTGCCATTACCCACCGCGAAACACTCTTACTTGCTTCAGACACACTTATCCCGTTGCTTTTGCCATTCTCAGAAGCAATTCTGGAAGCTCTTTTAGGAGGGTCTGTCCTTGTACTCTCATGGCTTCCTTGGCGTTCAAAATTAGTTACAAGCATTTCCCTTCTTTCTTTTTTCTTTTTTTAATTTAGTGCAGGGGGCGTCTACAGAGTCTCACTACACCTATTGGGCTCATAGTGATTCTCCTGTTTCCAGCCTCCAAAGAGATGGGATTATAGGCACGCACCACCATGCCCAATCTCAATTGCAATCTCATTGCAACCCCGGGGTGGGGCCGGCACAGCAGGCCGGAGATGGAACCTCCAACCCTCGCGTCTGCCTAAGCAGGCACTTTAGTGGTCCTTTTGGCACCGGGGAAAAGCTAGAAGTCACATGGGGCCAGATCCATGAATACGGTGAGTGAGGACACCCAGGAGTATTTTTCTGAGCCTGCCCTCCCTTAGAGGGCACTCTGTAGCAGTAATCACTTCATTTTTTATTGCACCATGTAAAGACACCCAGGAAAGAAGACTTCCAGAGCTGCTTCAGAAAGTGCCGAGAATGACGGGATAATCATGTTCAAAATGAGGGAAGGTATTGTGAGGGCGCTAACGGCAATGTGTCTCTCATTGTACTACCTTTTTTTTCATCCCTTCTTGTACATGAGTCAAGCATTCTCTACCAACGGTGAAGATTTGTGTACTTTTTTATTTTTGACAACTGCAGGAATTTGCCTTTTAAAGAGTTTTGTTTCTAAGTGAAGTGTTAAAGCTCTTGGAGATCATAGGCCACTTATCTTCCAATTGTAGGTTACAATCTATTAATGAGTCTTGCTCTAGGTTTTCTGGATATAGGCCAGCAATACAGAATGGGGGGGGGGAAGGAAGGAAAGAAGAGAGAATACATTAGACAATTGGGTTGCATTGCACATAGTAATGTTAAAGTATTGATTTATGAAACTTATTTACATGAGTATATATGTATGTATGTATTGGGTCACCTAACTTCTAGATACATTTTTAAAAACCATGTGGACATATGTGTCTATTTATTATTGCCTTCTTTTTCCTTACTATATTCCAACTCTTCTTCCTACACCGTCTTACTCTAGATGTGCTGTTAATGTCCTAGGTTGGTTCTACCCAGAGTCCATTTGAAAACTCAAGCCAGGTAACAGTCAGCAACTCACATTAGAATACTTTTCTCATTGATCCTAGGTGTCTTGGAAGACAGTGTTCTGGGGCCTGGGTCTTCAGTTTGTCTTTGGGATCTTGGTCATGAGAACTGACCCTGGATTCATTGCTTTTCAGTGGCTGGGAGAACAGGTTCAGGTACGGGAAATTCAGTGTGAGGGCTTTGGTCTTTTGGAACCCTTGAGAAAGGAGATTTGAGGGAGGTGTGAGGAGGTTAGGCTGCGTTGTGCTAAGGAGGGTGGTGGCGATCAGGTGCGGAAGGATAGAGAGTAATGGGATTGGGTAAGAATCCGAGCAAAGAGATGTGGTCTGCTGAGTCCACCGTTCAACATTGATGCCTGGGGTCTTGTCCTGGCCACAGCCATCAAGGGAGGCCAAGCTCAGGGGAGGCAGCAGGTCCTAACCACACATGAGGTGGATCCTGTCTTTCCCTGTGTCCTCCCTGGCTTCACGCTTGTTCTCTGCATGTTTTCTCCTTTCAGATTTTCCTGGACTACACTGTGGCTGGCTCCAGTTTTGTCTTTGGAACTACCCTGGTCCAAGAGGCCTTTGCTTTTCAGGTTATAACTCTTTTATGGGCAGGAATGGTAGTTGGTAGAGGGGGAGTGGAGTGGCAAATGAAAATGTGTGTGTAGGCTGGGGAAATGGCTCAGTGGAATAAGTGCTTCCCTGGCAAGTGCAAGGGCCTGAGTTCAATCCCCGCTTCTGCCAAAATAAATAAATAAATAAATAAATAAATAAATAAAATTCTCTCTCAAAGTTTAGGGCCGGGGAGATGGCTCGGTGGAATAAGTGTTTCCCTGGCAAGCGCAAGGGCCTGAGTTCAATCCCCGGTTCCGCAAAAAAAAAAAAAAAAAAAAAAAAAAAAAAAAGAAAATGTGTGTGTAATTGGACCTTACGAAAGAGGGTCTAACTTGTCAATAAAGGAAATGGGATTTGTCTTTTGCCCTTTAATCCTATTCTGAAACTGTATAAAATAGGGACGGGGAAGAAGGTCTCAAGAGAAATCTCTTTGTGGCTTAGTACCAATGCAATAGGCTTGCAATGCCTGTAGAATTTACTCTGAAGCACGTCGCATCAGACACTCTGGGATGCTGAGAGCTTAGTGTAGAGGCCCGCAGTTCCCTCACAGCACACACCACGTGCACAGTGTGCTCTTACCACCTCCCCGCACTTCTCTTTTTTTTTTTTTTTTTTTTTTTTTGCGGAACTGGGAATTGAACTCAGACCCTTGCGTTTGCCAGGGAAGCACTTATTCCACTGAGCCATCTCCCTTGCCCCTCCCTGCCCTTCTCGTTGCAGTCTTTACCAATCGTCATTTTCTTTGGGAGCGTGATGTCCATTTTATACTACCTGGGGCTCGTGCAGTGGGTCATTCAGAAGGTGAGTCGTCTTCCTCCACCAGCAGGAGGTGGGCCTTCACCAGGGTCTGTGAGGGCTTGGAGGTGACACTTTGGAACTGCTCCTCTGTGGGTCACGAGTGTTAGAACCACTGTGGAAAGGCAGAACTTTCCCAGCATGCCTGACATCGAACATGTGCAGGCTGGATTTTCACCGCTGTCACAAGATAGCTGAGGAAGCCAAGTGAAAAGAGGAAAGGGTTTGCTTGTGACTTCGGGGGTTTAGTCCTTGGGTGGCTGGCTCCCCTGCTTTTAGTGTTGGAGCCTGTGCTGGAGGCAGGCAGCATGGTGCCGAAAGGATGCTCCCTTCACAGTGGCCAGGGAGCAAGAACAGAGAGGAAGAGGTCAGGGCCCAGTGTCCCTTCAGGGCCACTCCCCCAGTGACCTAACCCCCTTCTTCTAGACCCCACTTCCTCATAGCGCCAAGGCTGGTGACTGAGCTTTCAACACCCCGGCATCTCGAGGCACTGCAGCTCTAAGCTGTAGCCAGTGGGGGGCCTGGGTCCCAAGCAGGCAGTGAGGCTGGCCTCAGCTTTGTTTTGAGTCCCAGTGGGGCTGCTCTGCCAGCCAAGAGGCCTCATCTCTGGGCCATGTTCTGTTGTAACTCGTGCTGTGGCCTTGCACCCACTGCCTCCCGAGGCCTCGGTTTCCTTGTTAGTAGAACGGAACAGGAGAGGTTTTGCTGGATGTTCTCCCGGAGCCCTGCTCATGCTGATGGTGCAGATGTCTGTGTCCTTCTAGATCTCCTGGTTCCTGCAAGTCACCATGGGCACCACTGCCACGGAGACCCTGGCTGTGGTGGGAAACATCTTTGTGGGGATGGTAAGCACCCTATGGCCCTTCGCTCTCTTTGTCTCTGAGGAACTGAGAACATGATAGTAAACAGGTTTAGAAAAACATGCTTCTTTATGAAAAGCAAGTAAGGACTGTGGGGCTACGGGGTACAAAGCCCCGAAGAAAGGACTCTCCAACACTCTAAGAGGACCCAGGGCATCCGTCCCCAACCTTCATGCCTCATAGTATTTCCTTTGGCATGCTTACTCTGAGTGGAAGACCCTAGCCATGGACTCAACTGCATGCCCAGAAATTTAGGGGATTTCTGGGCCAAATCTTACTTCCCTTCAGAATCTAGTGGGGTATTTGGCCCATACTTGCTTTCTTCCCGTGATTCCCTGTGATCTTTGTTTTCAGGGTCTGTTGCAATAGCTTGTCTTGCTCAGTATGGAGACCAGATTATTTTGCATATACTTGGCTGGTCCGTAAGGAGCATGTACTCCTGTGGGCTATCAGCTGATCCGCTCAGTTAGGGACACTGGTGTGTCAAACTCCCAGTTAGTATGGAGGTCTTTCTGTCCCAAGGCTGCAGGTGACACCTGCTTCCACTATGTTCTCAGCGTGTACTGGAAGCTTCTACTGTCCAGCCCCCCACATTTGGCTGACATAACCCCTAATCAGCTTAGTTTCCCCTGCTAGACTCTAAGCTTGTAAGAGTAGGAGCTAGCTGACTCCTAGTAATATCGCTGGCATCTAGTAGAAGACTGGAGGCATAGTTGGCATTCACTAAATGATAACATTGTGGGTTGAGATGGGCATAGTTTACATGGCTGGGCCTTCATAAATCCATAACATTTCCACCAACATTGTTTCCCTTTTTTGTTTTGTATTTTAGGGAAGGGTCTACAGGGTGTTCAGGGTCTCACTACTAGATCGGACACGTAGTGATCCTCCTGTTTACAGCCTTCCAAGAGCTGGATTACAGGCACATGCCACCACACCCAGTCTCAATTGCTGTCTCAGTGTGCCCAGCGGGTGGGGCCAGCAAGCGGGTCCAGGGTGTTTCCCTTGTTTATTTCATAAAGAGTTCGCTTATGTCAGCTCTTTGCAATTCATCTTCGCAAGCATCTACTCTGTACTCAATAAGTGTGTGTGTGTTTGTGTGTGTGTATATATATATATATTTTTTTTTTGTTTGTTTGTTTGTTTGTTTTTTGTATTACTTTCACTTTGGTATTTTCCATGTTCACAGGCTTCTATTTTAAACAGTATTGAGACTTGTGGAGCCTTCTGTACACTTTGTGTTTCTCCACAACTTACAATTATACATCACAATCCAAGCAATGAGAGAGTCCGTTGCAGCGAATAACAGAAGTGATGGGAGAAAAGTCAGGAATATTTTATGGCTGTGGAAGTTCAGATGAGATTTAGTGAACACATGCATGAATAAAGCCGTGCTGTGAGCCTTCCACGGTGCATCCTAAACTTGACTTTCCTGAGCAGTACCATAAAGCCGCTACCTTGCCCCGATTAGCAATGGTTTTAATTAGAAAGTCAGTCCTCAGGGTGTCAACATTTGACCAGGCTGGAGCCCTACTCCGGAGTGGTATCAGACAGACGCATGTCCTCCTGGGTTCCTGTGCTCCAGTGCAGCCAGGTCCCCAGCAATCCCAGTTCTAAAGTGATCAGAAGAGGACTGAAAATTAGGAGCAGCAGGGTTTGAAGGTCCCCGGGCAGTCGAGGTTCTTCCAGGGACATTAGCAGCCAAAGGCAATGATACCATCAGCTGCGGAAAGGATCGCTTTTCCTTTTTCATTCTCTTCCTCTGGAGCCGCTGCCCCTGCCACCGAGACTCGTGCTGGCGTCTGCTCTGCTCATTCCCCGGCTTCCGGCCGCTCGGGGTGCAGGGTGCGCTCAGTGTGTTCTGTAACCTCGTTGAGCAGGTGCATGGATGGAGACATTGGGAACGTGACACGGAAATATGCCACATGCCTTCCATCGTGGTTTAAAGCATGCGACGAACACACATGGCAGTAGCCGGGACACGGTCAGGCGTCAGAGGGAGTGAAGCAGATACTGGGAAGACCCCAGGGCAGAGCTTGGGGCCCACACACCAGCTCTGGGTCTCACTGAGTCTCCACTGTTGTCTCAGTCACTTTTCTCTTATTGCTGGGACAAAATACCAGACACCCAAAATTAAGACAGGAAGGTTTAGTGAGCTCTGAGTGGAGCTTTCAGTCTATACTTGGCTGGCTCCAAGGCAGAGTGGCACAGGGCAGAGGGCAGCTGTGCATGGTGGCAGAAAACAGCAAAGAGCAAAGGGAGGAGCGGCGGCAGTGGGTGGCATCTGGGAAGCCTCTCTCCTTTATGTGGTATGCAGATTACCCACCCCAGGGCGGGTGTAGCGCTGACACTCATATTCCCAGCACTGGGTCATGAATTAATCACAAACTCTAGAAGCTGGGCTGGCGAGATAGGTCAGCGGACTAAAGCACCTGCTTCAGGCAAGCCCAGGGACCTAGGTTCGAACCTAAGTACCACAGGCTGACCTGGCCACAGAGGCCGGCTGTGGTGGCGTACACCCTCGGCCGGGCGGGCGCGCTGGCACGGGAGCCACGCCCTCCAGGACTCTGTTTTCTCCTCGTTTGTAGACTGAGGCACCTCTGCTCATCCGCCCCTACCTTGCAGACATGACCCAGTCTGAGCTCCACGCCGTGATGACCGGAGGGTTTGCCACCATCGCGGGCTCCGTGCTGGGAGCCTTCATATCCTTTGGGGTAGGCACAGTCTCCTGTTAGTCCCAGGGACCCGGGTGAGGTTTTACAGAGACGCTCACCCCCCATCCGGCCCTGCAGATAGATGCGCCATCCTTGATCTCGGCCTCCGTGATGGCCGCGCCTTGCGCCCTGGCCTTGTCCAAGCTGGTGTATCCGGAAGTGGAGGAATCCAAGTTCAAGAGCAAGGAGGGGTTAAAGCTGCAGCGCGGGTGAGTCTCGGGGGGGGGGGGGGCGCTTCAGGTGCAGACTCAAGAGTGGCCCTGTGGTGGCAGAGGAGAGGTCACCTCCATGGGGGAAAAATGTGACTCCAGGGCCAGTCTTGCCTCCCTTGTTGATTTTCTTTTGTGACTTGGTCCTCCACCTGCCGCTCTGCCGCTGGCGTCTGGGCACCACCATTTCTTGTCCACGACATCTGCGCCATGTTGAGGCAATTACATCTGTTACTGCCTTAGAGTAACTTCCACAAGTGGGGTCACTGGGGAACCCCATCACCGCTCACCCTGGCCTGGGCTCCACCTCCTATGCTACAGGAACCATGGACATTTTCTTTATTGAGAATCTGAGACTACTCCAGATGCCATACCTTCTCCCTGTGCCTGATTACCACAGGAAGGAGAGGAACATTCTGGAAGCTGCCAGCAGTGGAGCCACAGATGCCATAGGTCTTGTTGCCAACATAGCAGCCAACCTGATCGCCTTCCTGGCCGTTTTGGCCTTCATCAACGCTGCCCTCTCCTGGATGGGGGAACTGGTAGACATACATGGCCTCACTTTCCAGGTAAAAGATCAAATGTGTTGGGCTGTCCCATCCCTTTGTGGTTAACAGTCCTTGAACTGCGGGTGTCCTCCTCCTCAGAGTGAGCTAAAAGCAAGCGTGCCAGAAGAGGGGGAAAGATTTGGCCAAGGCTCCCGAGAAGGCTCTGGGTGGGAGTGCTGTGATCTGCTCTTAACCTTCCCAGCATGCCTCTCTCTCTTCAGGTCATCTGCTCCTATGTGCTAAGGCCCATGGTTTTCATGATGGGTGTGGACTGGGCAGACTGTCCGATCGTGGCTGAGATCGTGGGCATCAAGTTCTTCACCAACGAGTTTGTGGCCTACGAGCAACTATCTCAGTACAAGAACAAACGTCTCTCTGGAGAGGAAGAGTGGCTCGAGGGCAAGAAGCAGTGGGTTTCTGTAAGTGACAATCCAGAAATGCAGACACAGCTTGAGGGCTGGGCTGTGGATGTCTGACGGTATCAGAAAGTGTGACGCAAAGGTTGGCTGCAGAACCGAGGATGCTTTCTGGTGGCGCAGGCCTAACCACGCTGCAAGCAGAACCATATGTGAGCAGCTCGTCTTCAGCTGCTCAGCTGCTCTGAGGTCTGTGTGCTGTTTCTGCTCTGTTCTCTGACCCAGTTTCTATCTGAGGCGGAACCGCTGGGTCCTTACCGTGTCCAGGGGAGGACACTCTTTTCTGATGGGTGAAGGCCTTCATTTATAAGCTGCTGTGACCTGGTCTCCTTTTTTCCCCCTTGTCCCTCTCGCTCTTCCCTTTCACCCCTCATTTGTAGGCCTTCACTTTCTTCAGGGGTCCCATTGTTGGGTGGAGAAGCTCCTAGTGGTTTCCGTGCCATTTGGAAAGCTGTTGTTTTCTGAGCCCGCGAGGTTCTGCATGCCCTGGGACTCTCATCAGGACCACAAAGCTGCACTTGAGGGACTGAACTGCTGTACTTGTCTATGTCCGTTTTCCCCAGGTGAAGGCTGAAATCATCGCAACATTTTCGCTCTGTGGATTTGCCAACCTCAGTTCCATAGGAATCACACTTGGTGGCCTAAGTGAGTTGCTAATCTTCTCCAGCCTCCCAACAAGCCAGCCAGACCTCAGCTTCCACAGCAGGGAGTCCAGGAGCTCCACACAGCTCAAGGCGTGCAGAGGCTGAGGTTGCGAGATGTGCCCTCTTAGGCGGCTGCTGGCGGAATTGGGGAATTGAACCCAGATCCTTGCGTTTGCCAGTCAAGCGCTTATCCTACTGAGCCATCTCCCCGGCCCCACTTCAGTTGCTTTTTTCCTATTGTTATCAAAGTTCTCCAAGCAGCAAAAAGTTTAAAAAAAAAAAAATTCATTTTGCTATGGGGGAGAAAATGTTTAGGTGTTTGTTTTGCCATTCAATGGTCATAGTGTCTATATAAGTAAAAGTCTTGTAATTATTCAGTTTTAGTCTGAAGTTAGGCTGATCCCTAGTTGTCTCTACAGACATAGGATTGGCACAGAGAATCAAAACCACAGATGAGCTGGGTGTAATCCTGCACTCCTAGCGCTGTAATCCTAGCACTGTGGGAGACTGAGGCCAGAACATCCCAAATTTGAGCGCAGCCAGGACAACTTATGATTTAAGTGAGACTCCATCTCAACATAAAAAATAAAAGAGGGTTGGGCGGTGGCTCAATATGATGGTACTGGGCTAAGTCCCTAGTAACAAGTCAACACACACACACACACACACACACACACACACACACACACACAGCAACAGCAGCAGCAGCAGCAGCAGCAGCAGCAGCAGCAACAGACACAAGACAAATCCAACAAGGCAGAGTGTTGGAGCAAATGCTGAAAGTCCCTGGTATGTGTGTGTGGGGGGGGTGAGTCTGTGAAGCGGCATCTATCTACTTAGGCTGCTGGAGACAGGGCTGAGGTGGGTGATGGCTGGAGAAAAGGCAGGAGCAAGGGGCTGTCCTGGTGGGCAGGGCAGGGGCACGCCCAGCAGATCCAGGAAGAAACGGATCTTAGGACAGCTATAACAGCTCACCGCATGACAAAAACAGCCGCATTTTAATGGAAATCATATTCTGAGGTAGAATCATTACATTCATTTATCTGATGGCTGAGTGAAAAATTTGAAGGTGAAATAATTTCCTTTTGATTCATCCCTTCTGTTAAATACCTGTCTGTGCTGGTCTAACTCAGGTGTCTAGTTATGGGCTATAAGGAGGCCAGCTAACAGGGGGCTACGGGTTGTCTGGCGAAGGCTCAGGTCAGTGTTGCCTGCTTCAGTTCTGTGGCTCAAAAATGTCCATCTAATTCTAGCTCAGGTTGAAGAGTGCAGACTCAGTTGGCAGCTGTCAGGCACTGGCCCCCACCTGGAGCAGCCCCGCACTTCGTATGACCTGTACACAGCTTAGAAATGGTCACAGAGCCACTGTAGCAAGTGTCCCGAGGCCCACCCTGGCCAGGTGTAGGTGGTTGGTGGTACAGAGCTCTTCCTCTGCTGCAGTTTGCTCCTCGGCACCCTTCTAAAGGGGAGCTTACGGCATAGACCTGACAGAGGGGTGAGGAAGAGACCGGATCACATGGCCTTGTTGTCCACAGCACCAATGGTACCCCACCGGAAGAATGACCTGTCCAAGGTTGTGGTCAGCGCCCTCTTCACAGGGGCCTGTGTGTCCTTTATCAGCGCTTGTATGGCAGGTAGGTGCCTCGGTGTGGTCTCCCGGCGAACGTCGTGTCTCTGGATCCCAGGGAGATTGCTGTCAGAGTACTGATTCCACTGTCCACCCCACGTTGAGTAGAAAAGGCACCTAACGTTCAGGGTCCTCAATTAAGAACTAGTGGAAGGCTGGGGAGATAGTGTTTAAGCACCTTGCTTGGCAAGCACAAGGATCCAGGTTTGATCTCCAGTACTGCATGCTGTGCTGGCCCCAGCCACTGAAACCAGGTGTGGTGGTGCATGCTTGCAATCCCAGCACTGGGGAGGCTGAGACAGGAGGATTACTAGGAGTCTGAGCGTGTAGTGAGACTCTGTACCAAATAAATAAATAAATAAATAAGTACAACCCCAACCCCTACGGAAAGCAGTGTGGAGAATCCTCAAAAACTAAAACTGGAAATTCTGACAGACCCAGCCATCCCTTTGTGGATGTCTCCCCAAAAAGTTAATGTCATAATCGTACAGTGACCCTGCACACCCACGTTTAGAGCAGCACAGCTCAGAACAGCTAAACCTCAGGAGCAGCCTCTGTGGTCATCGGCAGGTGAACACGTACAGGAAATAGTATATTTACACACAAGGGAGCACTACTGTGTCATAATGAAGCGTATATTCGAGTCATGTTTAGGACAACAGATACACCGTGGAACCATGGTGTTAAATGAGATAAATCCGACAAGCTTAAATACCACATGGTTTGTCTTACTTAAACACTAAGTATAAGGGCTGGGAGGATAGCTCAGTAGAATAAGTGCCTGCCTGGCAAGCGCAGGGTCCTGAGTTCAATCCCCCGTACCGAAAAAATAAATAAATAAATAAATAAATAATAAAAGAAACACAAAGTATAAATGAAGAGCAAAATAGGGCCTGCAAGCAGGGGCAGGGGCCAGGGGTTCAATCCCTAGGCCTGCCGTGCCGGCCCCGCCCCCTGGGGCACACTGACGCAGCAATTGAGACTGGGCATGGTGGTCGCCCCTGTAATCCCAGCTTTTGGGAGGCTGTAAACAGGCGGATCACTATGTGTTCGATCTAGTAGTGAGACCCTGAACGCCCTGTAGACCCTAACCCTGAAATACTAAATAAACAAATAAATAAATAAGCAAAGTAAAGGTAGATGATAGGAAAAGCGACTTTGAGAGGTCTTTTGGAAATGAAAGGGGGTGAAGAGATGGAGTGAAGGGGCGGGGGCGGACAAGGCCTGAGGTGGCGTCATGTCCGCGGAGCAGCCCACGAGGAGCGTGATCCTTGTGTCCTATAAACTTGGACTAAGCGAAATCAGAACTAGTAATAACCAAGAATGAAGATGAGGCGCTCGCGGACCGAGTGTCCAAGCTCCCTTTCGCGTCTGTGCCTCCTTTGTCCAGGAATCCTCTACGTTCCCAGGGGAGCCGAAGCGGACTGTGTCTCCTTCCTAAACACGAGTTTCTCCAACCGAACCTACGAGACCTTCGTGTGCTGCCGAGAGCTCTTCCAGAGGTGGGCGAGCGCAGCCCCGCTCTCTCTTCCACCCTGTCCTCCACCGGGCCTCCGCGGAAGGGAGAGCGCTGTGCACGGGAGCCCGCGAGCTGGGCTCTGCCCTGGCCGGGTGCGCCTGGGGGCTGGTCCTCCGTGCCAGGCCGGGTCGCTCTGTCTTGGTGGGGTACTGAGGAGTGGAGGGGCGGGAAAGGAGATGAAGGAGGTGGTTTCTCTGGCGAGAAGTTGGTGTTTTTATTACAACTGAAAAATAGAGGGAAGCCGAGCATTTAGCAACAATCCCAAGTGGTGAAAAAAATTATGGGCTTTGTCACACTGCATGAATACTACTGAGAGAGGACAAAGTTAAATTTATAAAATCGGGCTGTATTCACAGAACATAAAAACGAGCTTATTCATCAATGTCTAGTGTATGAAAAGAACATGCCACTAAACTAGAAAAACTAGTTTGGGACACAAAGGGAATGGCTTAAGGCAGTGGTGGGTCAGGTACAGTTAAAGCAGAGGCATGTACCACAGTAAGAGGGGAGAGGGGAAGTGGGGTGAGAGGGGAGGTGGGGTGTGGCGCTGGGAGATCCCAGCAGGCTTTGTGTGAAGTGCTAAGCAACTTGGGTTTTGACCTGAAGGCTTCTTTGTGAACGTGATGCAATCAGCGGCTCTGGAAGAGATCATTCTGGCAGCCCGTGGAACCGATAGTGTTGGTTGGCCCTGGGACGGGAGGAAGGGGTGGGGTGAGGAAGATAAACCACCGGGCCTGCTGGCTTAGGCAGATGGCTCTAGAAATGCCACTGATTCACAGAGAGGACCCGGGGAAGGTTACAGCCTCATTCAGCTTTGGATACGTTGGTCTGGAGCTAGCTGTGGGGCCACTGCGTAAAGCTGTCAAGACACGGGGCTGTGGGGCTCAGGAGAGATTCAGATCTGGAGGGATCTTTGGAAGTTATCCTCTTAAGTGGTCTGCCGGGCGGGTGGATGTTCAGGCGCCACCTGCCTAACAGGCCACGAGGTCAGAGTGGCAATGCTATCTGGCCTTGCTTTAGTTCACCATTAGATCCAGCCACCACTGTCCTCCATCATTAAAAGCTGAGTTGTAATCTGAGTAGTTCATTGGTTTGACATAGTTTTTTTTTTTTTGGTTGTTGTAGTTTTGCAGAACTGAGGATTGAACTCAGGCCCTTGAGCTTGCCAGGGAAGCGCATATTCCACTGAGCCATCTCCCTGGCCCCAGTTTGGCATAGTTTTGATGGCTGTGTTCTTATGACTTCCTAGTCACACACTGAGGGTCATTAGCAAGGAGACTCTGAAAGAGAGGTTTTTGTCCAATTAATTATACTAATTTAGTCTGAGCTGTTTTCCTTTCTCAGAAGGAAAAAGGCCTGGGGCTGTTACCTTGCTTTTGGAATGCATTCAGTTTGAGATCACCGCTAGGAATACATTTTGCCTCAGGTCTCTAGGAAGGAAAGTTCTGGATGGGCTGTGCTTAGGAACTGGGCGTAGGAGTGCACACACACTGTGCTGAGTTCCTGCTGGCATCATTGCCAATGTGACTAAAAGAACAAATTTAATTGGATCTAATGTATTTAGTCATGGCGGATGGATGCATCTTCAGGCTCTGGTTTTGTTTCTGGCTGCCGGGTAATGATGACTGATATGTTTTACTGACTTGGTTTTTTTCTGACACACTGACTCTCCGGCTTTTCGTTCCAGCACCTCTGCAAATGGTACCAACCCACCTTCTTTTTCTGGTCCCTGGGAAGACAAGGAGTTCAGTGCCCTGGCGCTTGCTAACTGCTGTAAAATCTACGCCAACGCGGTCTGTGCCTGAGCGCTCCGTCGTCCCCGTAACACTTCTGACAGCTGCTCTGCGGTCAGGGGCATTTGTACACTCAGGGTTAACATTCTGGAGTGAATGCATCAGGAGCTATGACAGTAAAATATTCCTTTTGGTTCACTCTATCCCAAAAATGAAAATTAGCATTTGTCTTTCCATTGTCTGGGTGAATCACATAGGAAATTCCTCCTGGGCCCTCTTGAGCTAATATTTAAATAAATAAATAAATGTCACCACATCAAAAACGTCTTGAAAACCTGGCTCCAAGTTGCCATCTTAAAAATATGCGTTGCAGTATGCTATGAAAGATTTAGTGCGCGTCGTGTCTGGGGACAGAGGTAGAGGAGACTGTATTTCTTGGGGTTTTGTAGATGTGCTAGGTTTATATTACTAAAGTTGCATGTAAAAGGTACATGAATATTTAATGGTAAAAATTTTCTGGTTGTCACATATTTGTAAACTGCAAACTCCTTGACATCAAAACACAGTAAACAAAAAGCTCTTGTACACAAATTCTCAGGAATGTATGTTTGTTCCAGTTTCTTACTCTGCTTTAGAATTTTCCTTCAGCATCAGTCATACTTGCTTCGGGTTTACCGAGAACTGTTAAAGCAGTGGTTTTGAGTGGGAAGGGGGGGCAATCTTGCTTCCCAGGGGACCCTCGGCAGCGGCTCCAGACCGGAGTGGTTGTTAGAACTGGGAGGACGCTACTGACATCTGCCGGGGGAGGCGGGCATGGCAGCGAAGATTCCTACAAGCCTGGTCAGCTTTCCACATCAAAGAATTCTTAGGGCCCAAGGTTAATGCTGCCAAGACTCTGGTTCACAGTATTGAATATAGTTATTTATTTGTGCAGTATTATTTATAAAGTAAATAATAGACAAATGGACATAGGAGTCCTAAAAATTATACCGAATTATCACCTAGCCCAACAATTTCATTCATAGGTATGTAGTCCAAATAATTGAAAACAGGTATACAAGCAGGCACATGTATATACATATTCATAGCAATGTCATTACAGTAGTCAAAAAGTGGGAGTGGACCAGATGCTCATTGACAGATGAATTGGTCAACAAATTGTGGTATAATATGAGGGAATTTTATCTCCCCATTAAAAAGATGAAGTACTGAGACAGGCTATAAGGGCTGGGGGATGGCTCAGTGGAATAAGCGCTTCCCTGGCAAGCATAAGGGCCTGAGTTCAATCCCCCATTCCGGAACAAAAAAAATCCCAAAAAATACCCTGAGACAGGCTATATAGAGGAACTTGAAAACATTATGAAAGGCTATTTAAGTTGACCACAACAGATAAATCCAGAGTGATGAAACACACATTGGTAGGCAGGCATGGTGGGGCACGCCTATAATCCCAACCCTGGGGAAGCAGAGGCAGGAGGATCATTTGAAGTTCAAGGCCAGTCTGAGCTACAAAGTTAGCTCAAGCCCAGCCCAAACTGTGTAGTGAGACCTTGTCTCAAAAAGACAAAAAAAGGCCTTCTGTGCTGGCCCTGCCCCCCTGGGGAGTGCTGAGACTGTGATTGAGACTGGGCATGGTGGCGCAGGCCTGTAATCCCAGCGTTTGGGAGGCTGAAAAACAGGAAGGATCACTACAAGTCTGATCTGTGTAGGGAGCTCCTGTAGACCCTGTACTAAATACATTAAAAAAAAAAAAAAAAAAAAAGAATGACTTTCTAATGTGAATGGGGTTTTACTTTGGGTGATAGGACTATTTTTGAATTAGATAGAGGTCACAGTTGTGCTGTATCATTGTACTGAATTGTTGACTCTAAAATGGTTAATTTCATTATGTGAGTTTCAACTCAGTAAAAGAAAAACAGGTGCCTTTAGCTGATCCACCTCCTCCAACTTCCCAGTTCTTTGAGCTCAGCCTCTCCGTTTTCTCTCAAATCTCCATTCCTCTTTTTTTCCTCCCATGTTTTTCAAACTGGACTAAAAACAAAACAAAAAGAAGCATCAAAAAATGCTTCTTGGCCTGCACGCTGGCTTTCCCCTCTGTCTGCTTTCTTTCCGAGGCAGCAGGTCCAATGGCTGGTGGCTGTATGAGTCATTTCCTGTCACTGAGACACAGTACCAGACACCCACAACCCAGCGGAGGGGCTCTTCTGGCTCACGGTGTCAGGGAACTCAGGCCATGATCGGGCGTCTCCAAGCAGGAATATGATGCAAGGATGGGGTCATGCAAAGGTGCGCAGTTCATGGTTGCTGGGAAACGGAGCAGGTACCAGCGCCTGAGAGTGGGGCACTCAGGGCCATACAGCACCCGAGGTCCTGCACGCACCCAGAAGGGGGTAGGGTATTTCTTAACCTGGGTAAGCTGACATGTCGTGATTAATGGTCACAGTGGTGTGGCACCCTGGGGCAAATTCCTTGAGCTTTCATACAGATTATGCCACTTATCATGGTGGTGATCTTAATTCCTGTGTCTTGGTATTGTTAACTGTAAATGGGGATGGGGAGATGGGCCTTATAGGTAAGGACTGTGAGGCTGTTAGGAGTCAGTGCTCACTGTAAGCCCGTGTAAATATTAATCTCGTTAGTATTTAAGGAGCTGGGTTCATGGCTATCAATTTGTTGGTATAAAATCCAATTCACTGAAGAGGCACGTGGGAAAGAGGCTGCTCCTTGTCTCCAGGGCTAGCTTTTACTTCTCATTCTCCTACTGGAAGCAAATTGGGTCTAAATTCTTGCACTTAGCAGACCTTGCTAATACTCTTGGGAAGTATAACAATCTTAACATCAGCATCTGATAAGCCAGAGCTCTCCTGAGGTGCTGGTGCACGTCTGTGATCCTAGCACCCACTGAGGCAGAAGGATGCTGAGAGTTCAAGGCCAGTTTGGTCTACAAAGTGAGTTCAAAAATAGTTTTGAAGACAGCAAGGCCCTGTCTCAAACAAAACAAAACGAAACACCTAAAAAAGCCCCAGCTGACACAAAAGACCCCAGCTGATTCCATTGGGCCAATAGGCACTCCTCGGTAGAAGACCCAGGACAGAAGTGATCCAGCTTGAAGTGGAGACTCTTGGGATGTGTAGAACTTGGACCAATCACTCTTGGTCTCTGCACTGGGGGCGGGACCAAAGCACTAATGCCTCAACTGGGAGCATGCGCATCTGTGAGGGATGCGAAGCCTGTGCCTTCCCTAGCAGGACTTCATCCTGGGGTTGGAGTCAGACACACAGGGAAGGAGATTAAACAAGGAGGCAGGAAAGTATCCTGACGGGGGTGGGGGGTGTTAAGGAAAAATGAGAGTTGTGGGAAGGGGCTGTGCTGGCGTGTGCTGTTGATCGTGTGGGACGAGGGGAAGAGCCTGGTAGTCTGGTGTCTATGTGTTCTGCCACAATGCCCCACAATGCCCCACAACCCAACCTCTGGCTTAATGTTTTTGAATCTCTTTTCAGGCCAGTACACATAGATCACATTTTTGTCTTTTTTTTTTTTTTTTTTATAAACAGGTTCTTGCTATGGGTTCAGGTTACCTAGAGCTCACTTTGTAGCCCAGGCTGGTTTCAGATTTGGAAGGATCTAACTGCGTCAGCCTCCCGAATCCTGAGATTACAGGCATTCAGCACAAGGCCCAGCAGATCACTTTTGTTTTACTGACTTCATGATATGTCATATAACAGAGACCCACAGTGAACTGTTTCCCTGTTGTTGAACATTTAATTTTATGTATTTGGCCAGTTATTTTTAGAGCATGAGTGGCTAACCTTTTGGGTTGCCTGGGCCACACTGATTGAAGAGTTGTCCTGTGCTGCACGTAAGATACATAATATAGTTAATATCTATAGGTAGCAAGCTTCCTTTATTTTTAAATATTTTTATTATAATATATAAAGGAGAGGGCAAAATAAGCCTAAAGCTAGTGGGGCCTCAGGCATGTACCTATAACACCAGCCTTTGGGAGGCTGAGGCAGGAGGATATCCATGAGTGCAAGGCCAGCCTCGGCTATATAGCAAGACCCTGTCTCGAAAAAAGAAAATAAGAAAGAAAAAAAAAGAAAGTAAGAAGGAAAGAAAAGTGGTGGGATATATCACTTTGTTTTGCAGAAGCAATGCGTCAGTTTGCTTCCAGAGCACCGTACGGTTGTTAAAATCATACAATTATGTTCATGGTGCGTGATCTTCTAAGAGCTGCATGCCTGGGTGTCCAGGGCTTCACCCGTCACAGGCAGGCTGGACACCATCTTCTAGGACTTAATTAAAGCTTACATTTGACTTCTTCTTCTTTTGTATTTTATTTTTTTAAATTTATTTGGTTTTTTTTTGGAGGAACCAGGGATTGAACTCAGGCCCTTGTGCTTGCCAGGGAAGTGCTTATTCTACTGAGCCATCTGCTTGGCCCTTCTTTTGTATCTTAGTACAGTGTCTACAGGGTTTCACTATGTAGATCGAACTCATAGTGATCTGCCTGTGTTCAGCCTCCCAAGAGCTGGGATTAAGGCATGAGCCACCACATCCAGGATCAATTGCCCAGTTTCAATCACCGATTTAACATGCCCCGGGGGCGGAGCCACCATGGCAGGCCAGGGGATCGAACCCCTAGCCCCTACACCTGCTTGCAGGAGCTTTAATCTGCTGAGCTATTATTTGGCCGGTCCTATGTTTGACTTCTGACACTTCTGGATGCCTACATCTACTCTTGATGAAGATCTACTCTTTTATTAAGCTATTGATTTTTTTTAAAGAAATTTCTTTATTTTTTTAAAAAAAATTTTATTTGTGTGTGTGTGTGTGTGTGTGTGTGTGTGTGTCCAGCTCAGCCCACCAGGGGGCGGGGTTGGCTGGCATGTGGTGCTGGGGGATTGAACCGTGGTCCCTTTGCTTTGCTAAGCTTGTTCTAAGTAGGTGCTTTAGACCACTGAGCCATCTCACCAGCCCCTAAGCTATTGATTTGTTATTGCCAACAATTAGAGAAATACAAATTGAGGGGCCAGGGAGATAGCTCAGTAGAATAAGCGTGTGCCTGGCAAGTGCAAAGCCCTGAGTTCAATCCCTGGTACCACCAAAAAAAAAAAAAAAAAAAAAAAAAAAAAGTCCTGGGCTACAAAAGGAGCTCAAGGCCAGCCTGAACGGTGCAGGAAGACCTGTCTCAAAAAGATAAGAAACAAAAACACAGGGGTTCCTAATATTTACGTTGTGGTCAACATCATTCACCTTGATTTATTTACTTATTTATTTGGTACAGGGTCTCATTACACAGCTGGGACTCATAGAGATCCTCCTGTCTCAGCCTCCCCATCACTAGGATTACAGGCATGCACCACCATGCCCAGATTTGGGACAGGCAGGCATGCAGTCCTGGGGATTGATCCCGAGTGCTTGCATTTGGCAGGCAGATGCTTACAACCCTGAACTATCTCTGCAGCCGCTCACCTTGCTTCTAGATCTTCAGTAAGAACCGGCTATGCCTAGGGCCCTGGTGTTTGTGCTGTTCGGAAGAATTCAAGCATCCTGGAGC